TTAAGAAAGGACTTGTATCGCCGAAGTTTCTCGGAAAGAATTTCTACAGGAAATTAACAAACGAGCAGAGACATAACAATATCAATACCAAACAACACTACAGTTTGATATTGCTGCAAAGATAGAAAGGAACACAAATCCATTCAACTCATTGGATTTGACTTTTCAAATTAACTGACAACTAAAGAATATAACTAAAAACTTTATATTTATACAATTAAATAGTTTTGAATGCACAACTGTGTCTTACTAAAACTACAAGACATCGTAACTAACTCCTTTGCCATTTCACTTTTCCTGGGAGAATAATACCAAATTGTACTAACTCAAGATATGTATCATTAAAACTATTGGCGAATTTAACTTGTTTCTTTCATTTACATATACTGTGATATTATTAAACTGGACACCTAAGTAGGTAAACCAGTTTTGTAAAATTCGAAGGAGGAGCGAAGAACGAATGCTCTCTTTATCCACTCTGTTATCCAATCAGTGTCGTTCTTTCAAAATATTGGGGATGTTCTCGCTTTACTGACCGCCACCTATCAGAAAGTGGATAACCTACATCTGGAAGAAGTTTTCTCGTTGCTGTGTTCCTCTATAACTCTGGAGGTTCAAAATAAAGAGTTTTCCTGAGCGCGTAGCAGACTGAGGCTGTTGTCGGTGGTAGACAGATCTGTTACCTTAACATTTTCTGTCCCCAGAGGGTTTTTACCCTGTACATATTCCCTGTCCCACGAAAACTGGGGCATTGGTTCGCGAGCTCACAAAACCTGTTGAAGGGTTAGTGTTATGCAACATTGTGCGTCTGAGTGTGTTCAGATACAAATAGCAAGGTGCAAGTGAAGCGTCGTGTATCTTCAACAGCCGGCCCGTTCCTGATTTTTCATTTCTTCTTCTGCTAAACGAATTACGATATTAGAACCAGGTAGGGTACATAAGGAATCAAAGTCTTTCTTTCTTTATTCATCATAAATGTACTGTATAATTCGTAGGTGTACTGATTATTTCAACTGAAACCAGTCTCTATAATCATTGCTTATTTTGTTCATTTTTTCTGTTTTGTATTCGTGTTTCAGTTTATGAAAAGGTATTTATTTATTTGTTTATATTTCAAGAAGAAAACATTCTGGACTAAGTATGTGATTGCTAGACAGATGTTTTTGAAATAATATGTTACTGTTACAATGAGCAACAGTGTCAAATGTTTTGTAACTAAAGCAACCGTATCGTAAGACGGGTGCAAATTTAAAATGGCAATAGTGAGCCGAAAATTTATCTCTTAAAATGCGTATGAACAAGAAAGTGTTTACGAAAATGAAATATTCTTAATGCAGATTCTATTTAATTTTTAGTCTACCGTTTATAATAAACACAATATTTATTTAGATAACGGTAGAAGGTTGAATTCTTTCTCGAGCTGAGACATTTCGAACTTTTTTTTTGTCTGAATAAAAAAACGAGCATAAAAATGGGAAACTTGCTGCAGTCGTCAAATAGAATTCGTTGTCAGTATTTTTATTCTTTTCAGTTTAATATTACAGCAGTTATAAGATGAACAAATTCGTAGATGAATTTTTTCTGGTTTTATTTGGACACCAAATATTTTGGTGAATTTTCAGACAGAAGATAAAAATTAAGTATGGCTATGTGCAGGTAGCCCTTACTTATTTTTGCGCGAAATTCTGAACAAAATAAATACGCAGTTTTTGAAAGATAAAACAAAACTTCTTTTTGTTACCGTTTTGTCCACTGATGGATCACCAGTAAGTTTACGTACTTACAACGATAAAGCTGGGTTCGATTCCCACAGTGGATAGAGCGTAGATTGCTTATTGTGCAGCTTTGCACTATAAAACAACAAGACAAAAAGAAGTCAACATTTTTTTTTCTTTTTGGGGAGGGGATGTATAAATATTTCTATTAGGGCTATATATGTTGGAGATGAGCAAAAAATACCTTAATGATGTTTCGAAGAATTACAGTGGGTTATTATTACTAGTCCCTTGTAAGCACATAAAATACGTAGGAGTGCTGTAAGGAAGTACAATAATATCAAGTATATCAGTGTAGTTGGAAACAGTGAACAACTACCTAAAGATACCCTGACAATTACACATGCTTTATATGAAAATCAAATAACACAAAACAAAAGTAAAATTAGACTTTGACAATAATTATAAGCCGCGATAACTCAATCCGGTTTTAATATCCCCTACCTATATATGTGTTTTGAGCGAGTTTTCAACTCTTCTCTTTGAGTTGACTTCGGGCTAACTGGTGTGTAGTATATGCAGTGAAAGCATTAGTTAGGATTAAACGTCAACGTTTTTTGTTTTTAAGAAAGCACATGAGAGAAGTTTCAAAGAAATTGTAATTACAACGATTATTGGGTTACAATTTGTAATCATTTTAAAATCATTTTAGTATTTCTTATTTTAAAATATATTTGGATGCTAGAATATCAGGTGACAAAAAAAGGAGTATGGGAATAAAAAAGATTAATTGTAGGTATGTCATTGAGGGAGGAGGATAAGTAGATAGTAAGGTCCCATAAGAAAACCTTGTTCCAGGACCTTTTAGAACTTTGCCACTCCACTGATATACATATTAAGTATAGCTAATGATGAAAATATCTATACTTGAATATTAATATTAGGTATAGTTAATGATGAAAATTTGTATTCTAAAATTTTAATATTAGGTGTTGTTAATGAAGACAAATTTCTATGCGTAATTTTAATATTATATAAAAAAAGTTAATAATGATAATTTATACTCTGGAATTTTAATATTAGTTATGTTTAATGATGGATATTTCTATTTTTGAATTCTAATATTAGGTATAATTAATGATGGAAATTTCTATTCATGTATTTCAATAATGGTTAATAATGGAAAAATATATTATGGAATCTTAATATTATGTATTGTTACTGGTGGAAATTATATATTCTTTAATCTCAATACAGACATTTTTAATGATGAAAAATTATATTCTATGATTTTAATATTAGTTGTAGTTAATGAAGGCAATATCTATGCGTAATTTTATTATTAGTTAAAGTTAATAATGGGCATTTATATTCTGGAATTTTAGTATTAGATATGTTTAATGATGGAAATATCTGTTCTTTAACATCAATATTAGGTATGTTTAATGATGGAAATTTCTATACTTGAATCCTAATATTAGGTGTTTTTAATGATGAAAATTTCTATTCTGGAATCTTAATATTAGGTGTAGTTTATGACGAAAATTTGTATTCTTGAATATTAATATTAGTTATGTTTAATGATGAAAACTATCCTGGAATTTAAAAGTAGGTGTATTTT